TTTATCCTTCGGGTTCCCTAATATTTCATTACGTCTCTGCAAAGGAATAAACCAACGGTCCAGGCTGCTTTTTACGGCACTTGAGTATATATCATTATGCGTGCACAGGGATCGACAACATTTATAGGACCTAGACATGTTCTGGAAGGTCCTGGTGGCGTAGTGGTTAAGCAATCGGCTGCTGACTGAAAGGTTGGCGGTTTGAACCCAGCAGCCACTCCGCTGGAGAAAGATGTGGCAGTCTCCTTTAGTAAAGATGACAGCCTTGGAGACCCTCTGGGGCGGTTCTACTCTGTCCTGTAGAGTCGCCATGAGTCGGAATCAATACGACAACAACAGTTTGGTTTTGGTTAGGACATGTTCTAGAACCAAGTCTACACAGCATAGCTCAATTTTGAATGACTCAAAGGAAACCTAGAAGCATATGTAGATTAGTGACTTCTCAGGGATTCTGTTCCTTGTGGGAAGGGGAAGAACGGTTGAGACCCAATAAGAGACATGGAATGACGTACCTCAGGGTACAAGGTGACAGTTTTCAAAATTTGGGCACCCCAGAGAGCCTAGCACACATCTGTCCAGGGATAAAAAATATTAAAAATGGTTTGGTGTTTTTTATTATACTGTTTGCCAGATGAAACTGCTCAAGATTTTTTTACACATCCTAGTTGGGTATTAAAATAAGAAACATGCTTACTGGTCGAAATATCAATAAGATTTTCAAAGAAAAATTAGATGACAACAACGTTCAGGAGAGCGCTCTTCATTGTGAGCTTTAGGGAGGATACAGGAGATTTAAACGGAAACAGAGAGAAAAGGGGCAGGAGGACGGAGACAGGGAGAGGAGGAAAAGGAAAAGGAAAACGAAGCAGAGAAGTGTTGCATCAGCAACTACAGAAAAGCAACAGCTGCGGCTGAGTAAGTCCACCGGACACTGTCAACAAGGTCCATACGACATACTCACAGGTCATATTAACAGGTTGCGGAGTTGACAGAAATATTTCATATTTGAAGGGCTATCGCTCAATTTTATTTTATATTTTGACACAAGACCACTTTTATATTTGTTATCACAGCGCTTGGTATGTACACATAGTAAATGCTTGCTGGGCCATCAACTGGCTGGATATGTACTTAAGTGGACAAACAGACAAATGGATGGTAGGAAAGAGAATGAATGTTCAAAATAACGTTTAAAAATGTTTGACACTGGAGACATGGTGCTTCTCCATTTAATAAAAGCTAATCTAATCGGGAGAAATATGTGAGAAGCAGCAAGGCAGAGTGAAAGAAGACAAGATTTGGGCTCAGAAAGATCTATCTTTAAATCCTGGCTCAAATTCTTACTGGCATGTGGGTCCTTGGGCAAATTTTGCTTAATTTATATGTGTCTTAGTTTCCCCCACCTGTAAAATGGGAATTACAGTATCTACCTCACAGAGAGCAAACCAGCAAACGTGGCACCTGTAACAAGCTGTACAAAACCAGCTCTCAAATAAACGCTGTAATGCGTAACGTTGGCCCACAGACGGCGTCACTGACAGCGCTCACCATCTGGTAGCTTCCTGTTTTAAATAATTATTCTTGCCAACTAGGTGCCAAGCTTTTTAAATCATTATATTAAATGTTTGCACCGTCTTAATTTTGATGCCCTTTATAAAAAGCCCAGTATGACCAGTCATAGTTCAGCTTATAGGGTTGTTTTGAGGATTAAAAATAACATAAGGAGAACTCCTTGCACAACGACACACATGTAATAGATAATAAACCACTGTTGTTGTTAAACATTTCATTAATGCCTTCATGTCACCCATTAGCCACTCTACATGATCGAACCTACTCCAACAAACTCACACTGCGAATACAGATTAATCGAACCACTTCCAGTACTACAGAAACCAGGTGGAAAATGGAAGGAGGATACACACCGCACATTCTCTTCAAAGATTCAAGCTGATTCCTTCAACCTTGACTTGTGGATTTTCTCTCTTAAATCCATATACACCTGAGGACTTAGAAGAGTGGAAGGTACCTGAATTTCAAGAGCCATTTCTAGACTGAGGGATTAAGCGCCAAGTTCAAAAAGAAAACACAAAATTACAACCAGTATCAAGGTATGCCTTCTCACTGCTGGACAGATAAACAGAACCACTTCTACTGTGCTCTGCTTCTAGCCTCAGCTGTGCAAACGCCAGTTAAGGAAGAAAAACATAGGCCTTCTTTATCAGGTAACCTCCGACGGGATGAACACTTCCATATTCCTACGGCTACTAGCAGCGAAAACACAAAAGTTGCCAACTCAGAAAGAACCGCTGTATAAAGCACTCCTACTTAGCTTTGGAAGACGTTTTTTCTGGATTATCGGATAGCTAGAAATTATTATTTTATTACAAAATATGTCAATCCAAACCAAGGTCACAGGTAACAACTGTTACAGCAAAAGTTAAACTAAAATGACTTACAGGTCCCGCTGGTAGTTATGTTTCAATAACAATATTGTGACAGTGGAACAAACTTTCCCCAAGGCAACATCTCTTCCACTCATAAATGTCAAATCAAGCTCACATGCAACAGCCCCAGCTTCCCCATAAATTAAAGGATAGTGTCCACCTGTCTGTAGCTGGTGATGGATATACTATCAGATAGAATCCATGGACTGGCACTGCCGTGACCTTACTTACATTTGACAGTCAAGTGCGTAGCATGAGGATTAAACAGAGATGCTTTATACGCTGGTGAAAAAGTCAGAACTGACACTATGGCAATGGGTTTTCTGGTTGTTTTTTGTTTTGTTTTGTTTTTCGTGTTTATGATAGTGGTCCCCATTATTAACTTTGTTAAATTTGATGGCATATAACAAAAAAAAAAACCAACTCAGGTCAGGAATGGAGATTGTGGCTTCAGGAAGACAGACACATAATTAAAGAGGAGAAATAAGTTTATCTGGTAACATTCCTTAAGATAGAGATCTAGCAGGTTTGGTATCAAATTCTAATGGAGAAATAATTCACCACCATAATCAGCAAACTAACTACCATTCTTTGTTATCTGCTGGTGTGCATTCATAATTCTCACTTTAAAGCAAAGATTTTTATTTTTCTGGTGCCCTCCAGTGGCAGCATGATAAAGTGTTCTGAGGTTAAATGGAGATAACTTTTAGACAGAAAATGTCACCCTGATGTGATTTATCTTGTGTCATGTAAACACCAGTGACGTTTTAGCAAATAATTATTTGGAAAGAAAAGGGGAAAATATCAGAGCAGATTATTTGCAATTCATCCCGATTTTAAACTCCCCACCCAAAAATGAGAGTTGAGCCAAAGCACAAACGAGCAGATTTTAAGATCAGAATGCTCTACTAGCAAGCAAACAAACAAAAAACAACGGACTATGAGACCATTTGAAAAACAAAATTAGCATCAAAACCATATACCAGTCAAACCATTAGGAAAAGTGGCTTCAGAATTAGCCATCAGAAATCTTAAAAGTGATAGCTAAAATTACATAACTGTAGGAAGAAGATATCAAATTAACAGGAAATTTATATTACAATCAATTCTTTGATAACAGGTTCCAAATAGTTATCCCACCAACTTCAGTAAGACAATAATTCTACCAAAAAAATAAACAACAGGATTCCAAGTCCTCCTACAGCTACACACACAAAGCATTAACAGCTTTTGGATCCCCGGGCCAACGAAATAGGTAGTTAATGTGGAATCTGAATACCCAGGGAAAGATGGCGGATTGGACACATTTATTTAGCGATGCTCCTTCCTGAAACCCCAAAAACATGGCAGTAGAAGATTTCTTCTTCTTTTTTTCTTTTAAAAGGCAAAACTCCACAAGGACAATGGAATTGGGAGAAAAAACAACGGCAACAAAATTTTAGAAGCCGGAAAGTACATGGATGAGTGCTTACTAGCTGGGAAAACCCAAGAAAGCAGCCTGATTCACATGGCACTGTAACGCTCTCCAAAGACCAGGAACTGGTAGCACCAGGTAGCTGTGGATGCAGGGGAGATGGCTAAGAACAAGAGAATTGGTCAAAATCCCAAATTAAGAAGCAGTTAGGACCGCCCCCCTCCATCCTCCACCCCATACGCTCCCTCTTCCACTCCATACAGCCAGGTGTGCACCCTCATCCCACCCCATTGTAAGACTGAAGCCTTATACTCTAGGCTAAATAAAACAAAGGCGTCTGGACTACAGGCCACCACGCATAGCGAGGGGGGTGGTATTATCGTAACACGTTAGCAGTACAGGAAACTGGTGATCTGAATGGTACTGACAAGTTGAAGACCACAGAACAACAGTGAAAATTATGATGATTTTCTGGAAAGAAATCCGACACACAAGGGTCACATCAACCTTTGATGACTGTGTCAAAACATCATATTACTGCAGCATGCTTCATTCTGCTTTTATAAGAAAAAGGCAAATGACTAAAAGAAAAGCTGATGCTTTAAAAAAAAAAAGAAAGTACTACTTAAAAACACTCAGGTACATTCAGCTCTGCAGGTCCTATATCATCTACATTAATAATTAGCTGAGGATTTACTGCAGTGAAGAACAGAATAGTAGGCAAAGCCAGAGACCCTTCACACTCTCCGTCTGAAAGCGTGTCTTACTTTATCTCTTCAGGCCATCAAGAGCAAATGTCTGGAGGATCCCTGTGAATACTCCCAAGGTGACCCCTGTAGCCAGATCAGAAGAAACATGAACACATTCATACAAAAGACTTGGAGACTTGTTGATTTAAAAGAAATCCTGTTATGGGGATTAACTGCTCAAAGTAAAGAGTTAAATACCTCTGAAACTGTCTTATATCTCATGTAACTAAAAGTATTTATCCATATGTAGGTCATTAAAGCTTCAGTAATTTCTCTTTTTCAGTCTCGTTTCTATATAGGATTATAAAGAAGATACAGATCACATACTTATTTTCCCCAGAAACCAACATAAGAACATGCCCATACACATTAATACAGACAAAATTGTACCTTGAACACCTTCTAGGAGTAAATCAACTCCCTTCCTATAAAAATCAGAGGCAGCTTCATAGTCTTCTTCTTCTTCCTTTTTTAAAGCCAGCTTTATTAATTCTCCTGCTTTCTCCAAATAATCTCTCTTGCCAAGTTTGTGTTTTAAACTGCCAGGAAAGAGGCTACGGCTTTCCCGTTCTTCTTCTGTTTTGTTCTGTTCACTGTCGGAAGCTGCAGCCCCTAGTGCTGAAGAATCTGAAGAAAGGCTGAGGCCGAAAGTTCTAACGGGAGAATTTGGATTGGAAGCCATTCCATCATCTAACTCAGCAAGAGAATCCACATCAACAGTGAGAGACACCAGATCGCTGTCACTGGAGAAGTCTAGAAACAGGACCACAACAGTAAACACGTATTAAATTGAGAATCAGCCAGAAGAACAGCAATCGTGCTGGCTATTCATTTTCTCCTACTACGCAAGTCAGTGAGGAAGGCTGGAATGCACCGAAGGGAGTCAAGGTCTACCATCGGACTCAGCTTAGTTCATTCGTTTCTGCACGGTCTCTCTGTACCTCTGGAATACAATCTCCTTGCCTCAATTATCAAACTAAAACTGAAGACATGTCTTCATCGGGCCTTGATTTCCAAAAAAGCCTGTACCACAAGATTTTGTGAACTGTTTATAGAAAGCTCTTGCTATACATACAGCTGCTGTAAACAACAGTGTTACGATAAAAGAAAAAGAGTAAGAACTTGGGAATCAGACAAAAAAGTGCCTGAATCCCAGTTCTTAAGACTTCCCGTGTGACCAACAGCAAGTCCCTTAATAATATTATCTGTTATGCAGGGCTTACGTAAGGGATAGTGTTAATGCATAGAGGGCATAATAGACTATCAAATTGTAACTATTCTAACAATGCCTACACAATACATACAGATGTGTTTTCGGATAACCATCCATACTTCAAAAAGGTATGCTGTTTAGTTTTTTTTAAAGGACTGGATTTTTAGAAATTTTCATTGTTTTCTGTCTCTTCCACAAGCTTTTAGAGAGAACTGGGGTCTGTATTTGTACCTTAGCTTTCTAACAAAAACGATTACTCCACCAGCCAGCCACTCCTAGGAAACTCTATGAGACAGTTCTACTTCGTCCTATAGGGTCGCTGAGTCAGAACTGACTCGATGGCAGTGGGTTTGTTTTTTTTTTTTAATTGAAACTTAAGCAGTGAAAATTACTTCTCCCATTTCATGTAATGATTTCATAATAAATGAGCATGATCTACAGCAATGGTTATCAAACGTTTTGGTCTCAGGACCCCCCTCTATACTTTTAAAAATGATCGAGGACCCCAAAGAGCTTTTGCTTCTGTGGCTTCTATCACTATTTAGCATCTTAGAAAATAAAACTGAGAACTTTTTAAAATATTAATTTTAAAATAAAATTTTAAAGCCCATTACATGTTAACATAATTTTTTGAAAAATAACTGTATTTTGAAAAACAAATTAGTGAGAAAAGTGGCCTTATTTTACCTTTTTTACAAATCTCATTAGTGTTTGGCTTAATAGACGGCGAGATTCGCACGTCTGCTTCTGTACTCAACACTCCATCTGTTGCCATTTGTTGTTTTGCTTAAAGAATGTGAAGAAACTGTCACACAGTTCATGTAATTGAAAAAGGGATGAGAATTTTAGGCTTTTCAGACAATTCTGGGCATTGTTCTTTGATACAACACCAAAACTCAACAAGTGGTAGTTCCTTAAAGCTTAGTTGCAATATGGAATATAAAATCCCATCAATAAAATTTTCATATTCTGTTACATTAAAATTCACTGGTTTGTCTTGTACTTTGAATAGATCTTTTAACAACACATGAGTTTGTAACATCATCCACTGATAATTTTGAAAATATTGGTTTCCTGAGTTATGCAGATCTTCCAGATGTTGACACACTATACCATATCCCCCCCAAAAAACATTTGTTACTATCATTCCCATCTCATCAGAAAATTACATTAAATATCAGGAAACTGCAAGCTTAGAGTGGCAGATACGAGTTTTCCAAAATCCTAATTTTAGGCTGAAAGTTCAGATTTATCATTAGCAACAAATACTGACAGCTATTTTCCCTGAAACGTCAGCTCACTTAATTCACTTCCGAGGAAATATTAGCCAAATACCCAAGTGTGAGTAACACTAGTTTGTCAGTTGTTCTTTCCAGCAAAAATGGTGTTCCGTGAAAAAAGCAGCCAGATTCAGCTCACAGTTCAAACAATTGTACAAGTGCTTTTCCTTAAGACAACCACAGTAACTCCGTGTACAGAAGTGATTTATATTTCCTTTCTATTTCCTCACACAAAATATTAAAAAGTTGTGTCTCCAGGGTTGAGATTTAATAAAGGCTTCATTAAGGACATTCCTAAATGAAATGGCGTTGGATTCACTGCAAACATACACAGTGGTTACTGGTACAGTTTGGTGACACACTCTTGATTCATGCTTAGACATAACGGTTTCACCCACCTTTGCTTTCTACATCAGTGCAAACATCAACACAGCAAAAAGGGCAAGTAATGCCCTAACGTTATCAATAAAATAGTTTTTGCCTTGCAGACCTCCTGAAAAGATCTCAGGGATACCCAGGCATCTGAAGATCACACTTGGAGGCCACTGATCAGTCTCATTAAATAAGATTGAAAATAGGGATAGGGTTGTGTGGAAAATAGTTTGGGAACAACTATGAGGTCTGGATCACTGCTGAATACTGACTGTCAAGTTTGTCAGAAAAGAAAATATATTAAGTAGAAAATTATTTCCTCAGAATCATATACCAAGTAAAAAACAAAGGTGAATTAGATTATACATTTCTAGAACAGGGGTCTGCAAACTTTTTTCTATAAATGGACAGACAGTAAATATTTAGACTTTACAGACCACACAATCTCTATCACTACTGCTCAACTCTGCTGCTGTAGTACAAAAGAAGCCACAGACGATACATGAATGAATGAGTATGCCTGTGTTCCAATAAAACTTTATTTATGGACATTGAAGTTTGAATCTCCTAAAATTTTCAAATGTCACAAAATATTGTTTTTCTTTTGATTTTTTTTTAACCATTTAAAAACGTAATAACGATTCTTAGCTCACAGGCCATACAAAAAGAGGTGGATGACCAGGTTTGGCCCACAGGCCATAGTTTGCTAACCCCTATTATAGACTCAAATTGTTCACATCATATCATATCAAGTAAAATACGGTGGAGTAAAAGCATTTTTTACTAAAGGACAAATATTGTATAAGACCACTATTATAAGAACTCAACAAAAGGTTTAAACATAGAAGAAAACATTTTTTGGTGGTTACGAGGGTGGGGAGGGAGGGAGACGGGTATTCACTAACTAGATAGTAGACAAGGATTATCTTAGGTGAAGGGAAGGACAACACACACTACAGGGAAAGTCAGCACAACTGTACTAAACCAAAGCTAAGAAGTTTCCTGAATACAACCAAACACTTCAAGGGACAGAGTAGCAGGGGTAGGGGTCTGGGGACCATGGTTTCAGGGAACATCTAGGTCAACTGGAATGACAAAGTTTATTAAGAAAATGTTTTGCATCCCACTTTGGTGAGTGGCATCTAGGGTCTTCAAAGCTAGCCAGTGGCCATCTAAGATGCATCAACTTGTCCCACCTCACCTGGAGCAAAGGAGAATGAAGAAGACCAAAGACACAAGGAAAGTATTAGCCCAAGAGACAGAAAGGGCCTCATAAACCAGAGACCACATCAGTGTGAGACGAGAAGAACTAGATGGTGCCCGGCTACTACCAATGACCGCCCTGACAGGGAACACAACAGAGAGTCCCTGACGGAGCAGGAGAAAAGTGGGGCGCAGAACTCAAATTCTAGTAAAAAGATCAGACTTAATGGTTTGATTGAGACTGGCGGGACCCTGGAAGACACGGCCCCCGGACTCTCTGTTAGCCCAAAACTAAAACCATTCCTGAGGCCAACTCTTCAGACAAAGATCAGACTGGACTATGGGACATAAACTGATACTCATAAGGAGTGTGCTTCTTAGCTGAAGTAGATACATGAGACTAAACGGGCAGCTCCTGTCCGGAGGCGAGATGAGAAGGCAGAGAGGGTCAGGAGCCAAGTGAATGGACACAGGAAATCCGGGGTGGAAAGGAGGAGCGTGCTGTCACAGTATAGGGAGAGCAACTAGGGTCACAGAACAATGTATGTATAGATTTCTGTATGAGAGACTAACTTGAATTGTAAAGTTTCACTTAAAGCACAACAATAAAAACTTTTTTTAAAAAAAACATTCTTTACTAACAGCTAAGTTCAAATTTCAAATCAGCTGTCGACACTCGTTTGGCGCCCTCTCAACGTGTCCTCATGTTCAGTTTCGTGTTTTTGTTTTATTTTGTTTCTTTTCCTAATCCTTAAAATCCCCAGAACGAACTAATTTTGTCTCCAAAAGCAGCAAGATTTCATTAAATCCACAGTCTCAGACGAGATTTCTAGACCTAATGGAAATCTTTTCAATTCTCTGACCTTTCAATCACGTGGCCAATACTTCACAATCAAAATCTTGTACATCAGTCTACAGAGTCACTTTTCCGCTGCTCTGAGAAGTGTACCAACTTTACATGAGATTTTAAAAACACCTATTAAAAAATCTTTTATGTATCTCAATGCAAATTTATTTCCACAAATGGTGCCTTTATGTAATCTGGTCCACTGAGACTAGTAAACAAATTAGACAAGTTGAAACAAAATCTCTGGTTTACACAGGGAATCACAAGAGGAAGGAAGGGCTGTGTTACAGGTCTTTCGTCTGCTCTCTGGTGTCCTGTAACCTTCCCGCCATCTATCACGCTGTACTGGCCCATGGGTTTCCTTTCTAACAAGAACTGCACAAAGTGACAGCTACGTGTACTCAGGTTTTCGCCCTCTGACCACAAAATCTAGTGACAGTCACACTTCCTCTCACCTCCCAACCTTGCTTCGTTAGCAAAGGGGATCGTAATTAAAGGAAATTAGATCAGAAAAGTAAGACCACTGAAACACCTAGAGAGAAAGATAGTAAAACAACTAAATAAATATTCTACATAAACTCTTCCTTTTCAAATTCTACCTAATTTCTAAGTGAAGAATCTTTAAAAGTAAACAAATAAAAACTAGCAGGTTAGGGAAAGGACTTTTTTTTTTTAAAGCCAAACTGGAAGAAGCAAAGGGAAACAAAAAGACTTTTTTTCTTGTATCAGCATATATCTGACAGGCAGTCTCAGCTGGAGAAAATAAAACGGCTTCACATTTTTAGAGGGCAATTTGGCAATGCATATCAAAAATCCAAAAAATGTTTATATCTTTGAC